CCCAACTCCTCAGAGGAACTGCAAACAAGTTTCATAGTTTTATCAGCCAGCTAAATCTCAACACAGACCCCCTGGAGCCTGACCAGTGTCCCCCTCATGTGCCACACTGCCAGTCATCTTCCACATGGGCTGCCAAAGGTGTCTACCTCTGCCTGCTCACTACAAGAATAAAAGGCAACAAAGACCAAGTAATAACAAAGTAAGGCTTTGTGGTAGGTTCTTAGTCTGGGACTCTGTCCCCACGCGGATCTCTTAACTAGCTTATTCACATGCCTTTACCTTCCTGAACAGGTCTGCATAATGGGGGGAAGCCATCTGTGTTCTTAAAAGCAGCTCAGAAGGACAGAAATTTGCTTTTTAGTTTTGAAAAAGGAATTTGTCCTTTGTGTGCCAGCCTGGCTTTAGGTGCTTCATTGGGCAGGTTGACTTGTAAGTGCCTGTAATTATTTAATTGAAGCAAATGCCTCCATGATTGAAAAGGCCCTTAAATGGGCTCCCTCCATTTGCCTGATGATAACCACCAAGGACTCTCTCTCTCTGTTTCAGAGGCCCCCTCCCCCAGGAAACTGCGCAGTGACTCACCAGGTATCATGCCTTCAGCTTTGCTGTGGCTCTTGTGTGTTACACTCAGTTTCCATTTCCTTTCTGCCCATCGCGCCCTCCCTGCCCCCTTTTTTGGCCCTTGCAAATTTCTTTGAGATTCCTGCAAATTCTGAAGGCTTGGACATCTTAGTTCAAAACTGTCTTTCATCACAACCAAGTTTAACACAAGATGACCTTGTGTCTTGACCCATTCTCCTTCCCTACTTCCGCTTTGGCATGACATGGCACCAAATGTGTCCTTGTCACTGCGTGTTGACAGGAGTTTAGAGGCCGTGTCACTTAGATTGTTCTTACCTGCATCAGAGGGCCTCTCTTACACTGTTAGGGACACTCGGCTGTGCTGTCCTCTCTCCTCCGGCTAAGACACTGCACTGAGCAGGTATGACAACGCCAAGATGTGGGGACATCCCTGGAGAATGGCTTCAGTCTGGCTGGTCTAGTTCACTACCCAGAATTAACAAAGCACATGTTCACGGTACCACAGCCCAGACATTTGTCCCCCCACGTTTGGGCATTCACAAACTTGTCTGCAAAGAAAATAAGTGCTCACCACGATGCCTTACAAGTGTTGGGGCTTTGTGGGGCTTCAGCAAGGGTGGACTCCTAACTGCATTTTCAAAGTGCCAGGGTGGACGCGGGCTACCACACAGAGCTATGCGCAGTCCTGGCAGAACCTTCTCCAGAAGTCACAGGCACGCACTCACGGACTGAGGAATGGGGCCCTTCACTAGACAGTTAAGAGGTCTCAATTTCCCTGGGATTCTAACAACTTTTTCATATGTAAATTTAGGCAACTGGGGCCTGGTTTTCCTCTCATCCTCCTTGAGAGGGCAAACAAGCCCTGGCTTGTGTCTGTCTTCTCTTTTCAAGAATCTCAGCTTTGCTGTCACTATCCAAATACTTAAAGCTGGATGAGGTCTTGGCAGGAGTTTAGCCTCTAAGACACACAGCTTCCAAGAAGCTCTCCTGCCAGCTCATTGGGATCATAAGATTGGCTGGATTCTAGGGTTGGCTGGAGCGTGGCACCTGCCAGATAATGGGAATCCCAGTCCTCGTTAAGCAGCAGGTGCTTACACCCTGGTGCTGATCCTTGCTGTGCCAACAATGCCTTGAATAAGTTCTTTTGAGTCCACAAGTAGAATCCAAATTCTCTAAGACCAGACCCTTTAAGAAAACCTTTGGAGAGGTCCCTTGTGACAGATATAGCCTGTGTCAACCTTTGCCTAGGATTTGAAACCAGTTCCTTCAGGAAAGATAAGTGAACCAGAACAAACAGGCTCTCAGGACTAGAGCCTAAGCAGGGGACTTACAGTGACCCAGGGCACAGTTTCCTCCTTAGACCAAGGCAGCACGTTTATCAATTAGCAAATACAGACTCTTCCGGGAGGCAGAGAGAGTGCCCAGAGCTGGGAAGCATAGGGAGGCACTGATTCCTGGGCCCAGGCCATCCCATCAAGTTTGAACCAAGGCGGAAGCAGGAGAGCAAGCCTGGTCTGCTGCTGCTCCCTCAGTAATCTGAGACGCTGTTCTCTGACCCAAATTTACAAAAACGACTTTTAAGGCTGCTAGAGAAGAGTGATGGAAATTTAATTCTAAGGGAGTGGGGGACCTAGAAGCTTCCCTGATATGAGCGAGGCTGGCCTGAGTCTAGCTGGGAGTGGCTACAACTTTAAGTATTTATTCCTGATCGCTGTACCTGGTGGTTCTTCCCAGCCACGTTTCTCCCACCCTCGGACCCCAATCCTGTCAGAATTCCCCTTCTCAGCGATCAGGATTCTCTGGGCCTTGCTTATGACTCCAATCTTACCTGTCCAAGTTGTTCTTGATTCAAGTATCAATAACTGGGATGGACTCACCTTTGTGGCTTTCCTGTCCAGCCTCTGCATGGTCAAATGGGTCGTTTTTCTTACAAAGAGTCTTTCTTCTTAGACATCCTAAAATGATTTAAGACCTGACCTCTGAATCAGGTCAAACATGGCCAGGTGGCCAGAGCCCCACACTATTGGCTGTGGTCACTGAAAAGGACACAAACATTCCTTCCAAACTGAAGGTTACATGCAGGTGGAGCTGACTTTTCCTCCTCCTGCCTGCCCTGCCCTCCTAGCAAAGCCTCACTTTAGGTGACCAGGGTCACCTGAGGGTGATGCAGGTGGTAACTCGGCATCAGGCAGGATGGAGATGGGAACGGTAAGGACAGAAAGGGGCATCCTACCAGCTAGAGCTAAAATATACCTTGGAGTAACATCTTTGACAAATTTTTCTAACAAGTATTCATTGAGCACCCATTATAAGCCAATAACAGTGGCTGTCATGGTGAGCAAAACACAGATGAGATCCCCACCCTGGGGGAACTCAGCCCAAGAATTCCGCTCCACAAAAGCTGGGCACCGAGTTGCCTTTAACCAGAAAGCAACCTCCTGGCATCCATACAATGACCTCTTTCCCTCTCAGCACTGCCCTTAACATTCATTTCCACTTTCTTCCCATTGAAAACCTAAAATCCTTCCCCCTTTTTCCCCTCTGAAGGCAAGGCGCAGAATGAGAACATGCCATTTCTCCTCCATACCTACCCCATGAGGTATGAATAAACCCCTGGGGATGTGGTCACCGCAGATGACCAGAATCCCGTGGGCCAGGCACTTTTTTTAAAGCTAATAGTCCTGCTTTGAAGAACCTACTACTTTCTCCCCATTCCAGCTATTCAAATGTAACCATACCTTGAAAAAGTCAAGACTTACGGACTTCAACCTCAACATTTGTGTCTCATTTGAGTTTGTTTTTTGCCCCTTCTAAAATCTCTTACAGCCTTTAGTTTCTGTACTAAAGAAACATGTTTTCTTAAAACCCACAGGCGAGGAAACGAGACCTCTTTTGTTCCCTCTAGAAGGTCTGGAGGACGCAGAGTTATTGAAAACGCGGATGGTTCAGATGAGGAAGTGGATGCTCGAGATGCAGACTTCAATGGAACCAAAGCCAGTGAATAGACAATTTGCCGAAAACAAAACACCCAGTGGGCTCTGCTTAGCACTGTCTAAATCCATTTTCAAATTCCAAACATCACAGACACCCCTCACAGTGAACATAAAAAACACCGCCCTGTGCTTGGGGCATCATCGATTTACATTTTGAATCATGTACCAAATGAGAAAAACCAACAGGAGACACAGACACACCCACTCCCCCATCAAGGAATTGTGCAGAGGTTTTGAGTTTTTAGAAAAGTAGATCCACGGTAACTTAATCACCGGCAACTTAGTTTACATAAAATGGGGAGAAAGTCACCAAAATGGGTGCCACTGCCCCCCCACTCCCAAGCCATTCCCTGTGTACCCTTCTAACATCGTGAGTAGGACGTGTTTGAGAATTCTTTCCCCGTCCTGTTTAGCACACCTCAGATGCACAGTTCACCAAGACCAAGTGCCTTCCGTAGCCACCTGATTTAAAAAGGAGACACTGCTCGAATGGACAAGAGCAGGAATGTTACACTGTTTTATATGCACCCCGATTGTATTTAAGGACACCCTCACTAATAAATAAAAGGTTATAAATCACTAGAATGTCACTGGCTTTTCTGTTGTCTTCTACAGAGTGAAAGAATGGGGGGGGGG